CTGACTGAGAGCAACAATTTTTGCTGCTAGTTTCTTCTTATATGGAATATTTTCTAGAGTAAATCAGTTTCTAAGAAAATTATATACTATAAATATGAAAAGCGTGGCAAATCATGTTAAACCATACAAATCTTGTAGGTAGAACACTTGGATTTCATTTACTGTATAGATCCTCAATCTAAAAATTTAAATTTTAAACGAAATTGAATTCTATTAACACAAAACTGTTAATGTTTTATTTACATAAACAGTTTTAACTAAGCTCAATGGTTTAACAGTAACAGCGCCAATCAATAACATTCTGTTACAGTTAACAGTATAGTTTGTTATTATTAATGATAATTTGCACGATTGAGCTTTATTAGGGTATCTAGTCTTCTTTTAATTGAATTTTGAATCCATGAAATAACTCGAAATATTATATCACAAAACAGTTCTTAGCTAACATTAATGTAAGCTAAATAACCTGTAATCTCAATTAGCTCAACTAGCAATTAAAATTGATTATAAAATTGTATTCCAATCGAGTTTTCAGCCTATAATTCCTGTCATCTATTGTTAGCTTTTATTATTAGTCAATACAAGTGCATAGTTAACCCTATTTCCAGTTATCAAAACTATCAAATTACTTTATAATATTTAGTTTTTACCTGTATATAACACTCTGTCCTATATACAATGTTTACATCTGAATACATACTTCACAGTTTCTCCTATTTCTTGCTTCTATATAGTTTATAGTCTCTCCCACTTCCAATGTAACACTTTCCTAACTGAAACTTTTCTCGAGATACTTCAAATGAACACCTTTCTCCACACTCTAACACTGTAATGAATGTCCCCATAATAATAACACGGATTAGTCTCCACTAATTAACGTTCAAATGTCAACGAGTTTGAATTAGAATTTCACAGTATAATATTTCGTTTTTTCTCTCATTTTCGCTGCACCTGACAACAAACTATAAACAAATACCAACCATGCTCACGAACACGGGGATATGTGGAATAAACAAATAAAACTAAATAAAAATTGCGCTTCCATATGACTTTCTGCTTTTACTTTTGCTTTTGCTTCCGGGCTGTCTGTCTGTCTGTGTGACTTTGGTTGTGTGTTTGCTTTTGCTTTTGCTTTTGCGCGCGCGCGCTTCGATCGACAACAACAAACCATATGTCATCCATTTGGGAATGTGTAGCACGAAATCATTCAAGGCAAAGACAAAGACACCAAGCACCAACAACAACGATATTGATGCCTCGACCGATGAGGCCGAGGCACAGAGCACTAAATGTCAACTGCCCCATTGCAGCTGCAGCCGGAACCGCCAGCCGCTGAGCACTTGGCACTCGAATATCGAGGACTCTCGCTGCAGCTATACGGGTCTGTATCCGCGCGCCTGGACCGAATACGATCTCTCGCACTACGGCGTCCGTTTGGTCTGTCGCCAGATCTCGCCGGTTATACCGCATGACTACAAGGAGTCGAGTCTGCCGTGCGCCGTCTTCGTGTGGTCGGTGCAAAACGTTTGCGATCAGGAGCGCAAGGTCTCCATCACGTTCACCTTCAAGAACGGCACGGGCAACAAGAAGCAGGATGCAGAGGGCAATCCCGAAGCGCAGCTCATCGCCGAGGGCAATGCCAAGGGCGTGGCCATTAGGCAAACAATTGCCGATATGCCCTGCAGCTATAATCTCGCCTGTCGCGTGCTGCCCGAGATCAGCATAACGCGCTGCCCGCAATTCGATCCGGCTGGCAGTGGGGAGCAGCTGTGGGCCCAGCTCAAGGAATACGGCCAGCTCAACGAGCAGCCCACGTCGGAGACGCTTAAAAGTGGGTTTGACTGAGACTTAATGCAGTCTGAAATCCAATTCAAGTTCCTCTTCTCATTCACAGCTAAGGACATAGGCGTCGCTGTCTGCGCTCAGCTAGCCCTCAAGCCGCAGGCATCGCATGAGCTGGAATTCGTGCTGGCCTGGGACATGCCCAAGATTCAGTTTCCACGCAAACTGCAAACGCACACGCGCTACTACACCAAATACTTCGATGACAGCGGCGAGTGCGGACCAAGGATATGCGAATATGCATTGAAGCACTATGCCAGCTGGGAGCGACTCATCGATGCCTGGCAGCGACCCATCCTCAACGATGAGTGAGTCCGCACCACATATATACAATATATTCGTAGCTAATATCTCTGTCCCATATGCACAGGGGCCTGCCTGATTGGTACAAGTGCGCCATATTCAATCAGCTCTACTACATCTCGGACGGCGGCACAATCTGGCTGAAGTGCGACTCTTCCTTGGGCAACCAGCTGGCCTTCGATGATCCGCGCTTGGCCTACGGCCGCTTTGGCTATCTGGAGGGACATGAGTACAGAATGTACAATACGTACGATGTGCACTTCTATGCCTCGCCCGCTCTGGCCCATCTCTGGCCCAATTTGCAAGTCAGCTTGCAATACGACTTCAAGGATGCAATTGGCGCCGAGCTGAATGACACACGGAAAATGTTGTACGACGGAAAAGTGATGCCGCGCAAGATCAAGAATTGTGTGCCACACGATCTAGGGGATCCCGATGAGGGTAAGTAGTTGTAGTTGGACTTCAGTAAACCAATTGCCTATTGATTGAAAAACCCTTTCATTTTCACCTATAGAACCCTTCACGCTCATCAACTGCTATAACATCCATGATGTCAATGACTGGAAGGATCTCAATACAAAGTTCGTGCTACAGGTTTACAGGGATTACTATGTGCTCAACGAGCTGGCCCAGGCGCAGGCGGACAATGCCAGCAAATTCAGCTCAATCGAGTTCATCGACAAGGAGAGTCTCTACGAGCAGTACAGCCAGGACAACAATCGCAAGAGCTCGGCGGATGGCAAACAGCGTAGGCAGAAATTCAACTATATAAAATAACAGTTATATATCTACATGATTCCTCAACCTTACAGAGAATCGCAAATCTGCTTCCATGTACATCAATGAGACGAATGGCAAGGTTTATCTGATGGATGCCATGGTCTATCTGAAGTCCATGTATGGCGCCTGCAAGGCCATCATGGAGCGCACCATTGAGTATGATAAGGATAACGACGGACTCATCGAGAACACCAAAATGCCGGATCAGACCTACGATGCATGGGTTATGGATGGACCGAGCGCCTATTGCTCCGGCCTCTGGCTGGCTGCACTGCAGGCTATGTCTGTGATGGCCACGCTCTTGGATCAGCCGAACGACTGTTTGCGCTACCAGGACATATTGGAGAAGGGCAAGCGTTCGCTGGAGGAGAAGCTATGGAACGGCAGCTACTATCGCTTCGATTTGTCGCACAATCATCGCGACACGATCATGGCCGATCAGCTGTGCGGCCATTGGTATTTGAAGTCGTGCGGCTTCGACTATGAGATCTACCCGAAGGAGAATGTGCGCACCGCCCTGAAACGCATTTACGACAACAATGTGATGGGCTTTCACGATGGCAACATTGGCGCCGCCAATGGCTTCATAGCAAACGTCAGCGAACCGTCGAAGCCGGGCCATGTCGACAACAGCAACATTCAGGCGGAGGAGGTGTGGCCAGGCGTTGTCTATGCCCTGGCCGCAACCATGATACAAGAGGGCATGTTCGACGAGGCCTTCCAGACAGCCGGCGGCATGTACAAGACTCTGTCGCAACGCATCGGCATGAACTATGAAACGCCCGAGGCGCTCTATGGCGAGAAACGCTATCGTTCCATTGGCTATATGCGACCCCTGAGCATTTGGTCCATGCAGGTGGCCTGGGAGCGACGCCGTGCGCTACGCGACTAAGTCCAGTACCAGTACCATCAATATGATCTACAAGTTGAGTTATCTATGTTTATATATGTACGCGCTACCAAACCAAAGATATTTCCTAAGCTAACACACACAAAGGTTCTTAGCTTTTAGTTACTCTGTTTTGCGGTCGCAACGTTACGAGCTTAAGATGCAAGAAAAGTGGTATTCAAATGTTTAAACAATTAGCTTTATATATTTATGTATTTGTTAAAAACTAAGTTCAATCCTTTACCTGTTCTCAATGTCTTCTCTAGCCACTCAGTTTATGCGAAACACACACACACATACACTCGCTAAGATCTATCAAGGGGCACCGGCCTAAGCGCTCTGCTCTGTTCCAAGTACAATTATTGAATGGTATTCATCCAAGCACAAAACGTATTTAAATGTTAGCTAAGTCAGTTGTTTACAAATTTACAAATTTACTCTGCTGGCTGCATTAATTATTATAATTATATATATATATATATGTGTATTTATGTCTATACAAATTAAGCCAATTATTCAAATATTTCAAATGTTGCTGTCGAAAATAAAATTCATGAAAGAAAACTGTGGGAAAAAGAAATATTTTTGTAGGCTGTTGGGAATTTTCATGACTCTGAATGGTAAGTCAGTTCTTAATATAAGCCAAGCACACAACGTTGAGTTTACCTAGGTAGATATTCATTTATAAGAAACATGGAAATAATGAGGGACTTGAACATTAAAATAATTTTAGAGAGAAGTACGCATGAGGCTTCTCACTCTTCCGAATCTCGTCACTTGCATTCAAAATTTGTTAACCAGGAAGGACATTGCTGAATAAGTTTTTAACTTATTTCTCATATACGATTTCAATTTAAAAATAGTCTGAATTTTTCATGAACATTTCTCGCACAATTTACAACATATTCTCCCATTTTATAAACATATCCCATAACTTTTTAACAAAATTCAATTTATAAATGCAGACTTATCATAATCTGATCTATTTAATCAAGAAACAGCTTCTTCAAGACTAACTCTAAATAACCAAAAGATATTGATGTTTCCATTTATTAACGGTCTGAATTTGTGTAGCAAGCCAACAATTTATCGCAGTTTAATTCAAAGTAAAAACTATGTACATATATAACGCTAGGCAATTCAGTGGCCCTTTAAGATCAACAGTTAAAATTGTGGACCTACTTACGGCTCAACTGCTGTTGATCTGTTGTGGCGCACCATGCTGACTGTTCCATTGCTGCAAGAACTTTTCATATTCCCGTCTGCTGCGACACAGGATGACCAGCGTGGAGGGTCGACAGCCGAGCGACTGCAGCTCCTCCACGCGCTGCTGCGTGGTCTTTAGGCTGTGGCACAAAATCCGCGGTACTTGCGCAACTTCAAAGCGTGTGAATTTCGCAACGTCTAGCAAATAGTCCAAGACCTCTTTGATCTGTTGGGAAAGTGCAGTTACAGTATACAGTTATATTTACGAAAAATGAGGCAATTCTAATTTATTGGCAAACCTTTGTAACGCGCACTGTGTGCACCTGCGGATGTCGATCCATAATTGCCTTCGTTTCGCTCACACTGAAGCCCAAGCGATGCGCCACATACTCCACCACGGTGGAGAATTCGCCCAGCACCTGCAGCTCATCCAGGGAAAGCTTTAGAGAGCTGTGAGAGAGTACAAATATATTGAAAGGTTTTATATGAAGCATGTATCCACTGTATCGATAATGTTTGTCTTTATGTTAAGAGTATATCGATCTTGTGTGTAATGTAAGGAATTATGTTAAGTACATGTTAAGTACATGTAAAGTTTCTGCTTCTAGCCTAGGGTGAGCTTCAGAGAGTTGTATGAAATATGAACGATGTAGCACAAAACAAATAAAATGTCTAGGAATCAGTTTCGTTCACTCATACTCTGAGAAAAGATTAAGAGAGCAACCGATTGCATCGGTTTTAACGAACAATCACACGAATAGTTCAGCTCAAGACGCTTAACAGAAAACAAAATAGCCGAAGGTTCTTGCTCAGGGTGAGAGCAATCGTATAATACTAATAATAATAGATCGGACAGACATTGAAAGGTCAATTTGGACAGTAACACTCATAAGAAACCAATCCCATTTTCAATCTCTTGCAGACTCAAATATCTTCCTTTTATTTACCGTTGCAGTATAGGTTCCGGGCAACGCACCATCCAAGGCATTATCTTATCCTTTTTCGCACGTTGGGCGCGCTCCAGGCGCAGCTCCACAGCCTTGGGAGCATAGCGAAAGGCCCACAGATCACGCAGTATGTTAATGGGTGAAACATTATAGTTGATCATGTGCTCCAGATTCTTCTCGAACATCTCATATGGCATTTCCAGTATGAAGAGTCGCTTCGACAAATATTTTGTGACGATCTCGGGGCTGACGCCCAGCTTTTCGCTGATATAGTAAACGCGATTCTTTTGCGGGTATTCGTTGGTCTCGGCATTCAAGGTGCCCACCAGCTTGCGTAGGCGTGGCACTGTAAGACGCAAAAAGGGCACGAAGTGATTGATGTCGAGCATGTGCATCGATTTGATCAGCTCCAGCTTAAGTTCCAGACGCTCTAAAAAGGGATTAAGAATTATAATTTTGAAGGAATTGAAATAATTGATTCATTCGTACGCCGATCGAGCCCCAACAGCCAGGGATATTCCAAAAAGCTTTTCTTGCTCACGCCCTCCAGCAGCAGCCTGTCCAGCGCATTTGTCAGGCAGCGATTGCGATAGCTGCGACGCACTTGCTCATCGCTCAGAATGCGCTGCGCTTCGCCTTCGGTGAGCCGAAAACGTTCGCGTATCGCCGCTATTACAGCACTGGCGCGACTGCCGCTCTCCAGCTCTGTGCGATACGGCACATACTCATTGTCCGCCTCACTGGCTGTGGGCGTCGCATGGTTCCTGATGCCGGCTGCGGCGGTGGCCAGTGTGGGCTGCTTTTTGTTCAAGCGACTCTCGCAGGCGTATTGTGTAAAAAGCGCGCGGCTGACATCTGTGGTTTGAAGCAAGCGCACTGCGTGTGGATATGTTTGCCGCTGCAGTCTGAGCGCGCAATCAAAGCGACGAGTTAGATTGCGCAACATTTTAGAAATATATGGTGAAAATAATGATGAAATCGTTAAATATATTAAACACTAAAACTAATACAATTTATACGCGCAGAACAAGTTACCGAACAGCTGAATGTACGGCGTTGCCACCATGTTTGTCTTGGTCCGCTTACTCGCTGAGTTAAGCAGTCTGGTCACATGGTCTGGTCGCATGTATAACAGCTCTGCCTTAGCCTCTTTGCATAAGATGGCGCGCAATTTAAAAATGATTTAAATATACGCTGGGCATATGATGATATTTATTTAGATGAACGATTATCTTAACCATTATTTAAATGTAATTAATATGTGTGAACGCTGTTTATTTATTATAATAATATTATCAAATACCTTTACATTATATTTAATTTGATTAAACGATTTTTTATTTGTTTTTCATATTTGTTTTTATTGTGCAAAAATACTGTTTTCCAACACAGGCATGCGATAAACTGACCGTTAAGAACAAGTTCAAACATGTACATAAATCATGAAATATGTATCACAAAAATTCCATTAGCCTTCAAATGGACAAAATAATAAGAATGTTAGAAAAAAATAGCAAGAACACATTCGGAAATAAAAAAATTTAAAATAAATTTGAAAAAAACAGTTTACTCCACATCAATGTCCTTGGTGACGCGACCCACCCAATAGACAAATCCAGTCTGCACCACTGTAGCCATGAATTTGACATTGCCCTTGTAGCCTGCTGGTGGGATCCAGTCGAAGGTAACGCCGCTCAGAGGGCTGCCCTTGACGGCGTTCAAATGGGTCAAGGAATCCTAAATAGATGTTCCAAGATTATTATTTGCATATGCTTCAATTATTTATAGCTATATTCTCACTTGTGGTCCCGAGCAGTCTAGGGTTTGTGAGTGTTGCGTGTCCACCACCTTGAACTGACCCACCACACGATTCTGACCGTCGCGCGCTTGAATCAGGAAGCCCAGGAACTGATCGCCACCCAGTGTTAGTGTCAGCTTCTGATCGCCACGCACATGTGAGGGACCTGAGAAGCTATATGGCGGCTTCTTGGTCTGCAGCTCAGCTCCATGCTGTGGGGTCAGATCACGGCAAGCGGCCTTTGGTGCACCCTCTGAGTAGGCGTGCACACTAACAGCGAGAAATGCGGCAATTAGCAGCAAACGGAACATGGTGTCTGCAGTAGAGAGAGGAGAACACGGTTAATTTAAATTATTCACTGTTGCTCGTAAAATAACATTATGTAATTTGCTTAAGCCTGTGCTGGCCTCTGTTAATGATAACACTAGTCGGCCAAGCCTGTCATTACCATTTCATTTAATGCTGTTAAATATCATTCTCATTTGCAGTTTCAAAGTATTTGCAGCAATGTTAACCCCGGTTTGCATAAGTTGAAGCGGCTGTTAAAGTAGTTTTGATCGGTTATGTTAACTAAGAGCTATGTGTATTCAGTGAATGTACGAAGAATAACTGCTATCAGCTGCAGTTGTCTGCTTAACACTCAAGTCTACTGTATTCTGTTCTGTTATCATTAAACGCTTTGTCCCAAATCGCTGTTAACCATTTGATGCATATTTGAATTTGAAAGCTAATTGCATTGACTTATTTTTGTTTTGTTTTGTTTCACTAATTAATTAATTAAATTTGCAACAATGAGTGCGACCTTTTCTCATATGTGAGCTTTTTTTTTTATTCATTTTCCTAGCACTGCCCTTGGCCAGCTTGACCAACTGGCTGTATAAATGTTATCTCCATATTGCATTTACAATTTATGTATGAATTAAAAACCAGAATTCAGCGACAAGTTTCTATATTGATGCACTTTGGACAGCTGTCGTCGTTTGGCCTTGAATATTTGGCAAATGGAGCCAAATCGATAGGCAGCTATGTCAAAGTCGGGTTCAACTAACGCACAAGAGATATTTTTAAAGACTTGCCAAAATTAGGTAATTTAAGCACGCCCCGTCCGTCCATAAATCGTAATCCTATAGACACATACACATATAATGTATACCATAATAATTATCAGCTTGGCCAAGTTGCATTTGCATGCTGCTTACAAAAAAGCTTTAGAAAAAAAGATAAGAGAGCAAAACACGAACCATATGTATAACTGGTTTTTGGAGCTCTACGAAATTCGAAAATAAATTATAAAGAAAACCAGTTTACAGTACATTTCCATGAAAGTGCGATTCCATATCAACTCAAATCGAACTGATCATTCAGCTGGGCCTTTTGTGAGCAGAAATGAAACAATTTATTACGTCGTGACGGCTGGAGGAGGGAGGGCGAAATGTTTCAATTGCTCTAAGCATTTCCTGAACGTCATTTCAAGTTCAAGGCAACGAATTCGGCTGGCCTTTTATTAGTTTCCTATTAAGCTTAACAAACGGTGAACTACGAACAATTATCGATCTACAATGCACAATCGACAAGCAATGCTCGACGATAAACGATATACGACATTCGATGACCTATATGATATCTTCGATCTTCGATATACTATATAAACTATACTATAAATATCCTATACATCCCATAGAATGCACGATCTACGGTTTTCAATATACACGGATCTACGATCTTCAATAAGCTTTATAAGATGTACGATCTACAATCATCAATATACCGTAGGACTTTACTATAGTGTACTATCACAGCTGAACTAATATGGACTATGTACCATACACAAATATAGATTGACGATGTACAATCTTCAACCTACGATATATGATCTTCAAACTACGATATATGATTTATTATAACCCAAAGATTTATTACTAATAACCGTTTATGTACTACGCACATTCTATGATCTATGCTCTACGATCTACATGACCCAAGGTATACTATATATGATCTACAATCTTTACGTTCTCTTCATCAACCATGCACAAACGAAGATCTATGTTTTACGATCTTCGCTCGACGCTATACGGTCTGTCTTCAAAGCAGTCCGTTCGCACGCCAACGCAGTCGAGCACTAAAGACCTTGTCTGAGCGAATCATAATGAAAAAAAAAAAAAAACGAAAAAAGTGTCAAGCCAGTTTGTCGTGGTACTGAGCCCAGCCTCAACTTAGAGATTTAAATATACAGATATACCAGATGTATATGCATACGTATGTTGGGTATATGTTAAAGTTCAGCAGTTTGTCTAGCTACATTAACGATAATTTGTCTTGTGTTGCCATTGGCTGTTTATTTTGTCAAAAAAGAAAACCGGTTGCCTGATTTGTTTAAACAAAATCTCATCGTTTATTTGCCGTTTGCCAAGCACCGAAAGCCTCAATTATTGGATGTTTTGTAATGTTTTGGCAAAAAATGATAATAAATAAAAAATTATGAGTTCGTTGAGGCTTGAAGCGAAATAAATCTATGAATTATGGAAGACTAACAAAGCATTGTTTAATGACACGCAATGCTTAAATGCGAGAAACTGGGAAAAATATTAAACAATTGATTAATTATATATAGGTAAATAATTGCTTTATTAGAAAAATGCCAACGCTTGGCAAATAAATAATAATAAATATTAATTTTATGAAGTTGGCTTCGGAATTTTTTAAAATTAAATATTGAGCTTTGTACTGCTGTCCTGCTAAATATTTTTGTTTGTTTGTTATTTTTAAGGTAATTATATTTATTATTATTATTTTTTTTAATATATTATTTTTGTTGTTGAATAAATCCTACATTATTCATATAAAAGCTTCAGCACTGTAAAAATGTATAAATAATTTATTTATAAACAATTATTTTTAATATTTCAAGCACTACGCTCTGATCCTTCTATATTTTATAACATTTTCTGTTATTTTTGTGGCACTGCACTTTATAAATTTTACCTACCGTTTAGATAGACTAAAAATCCACACGGCACAAAAGAAAAACTTCAAATGAACTGAAAATTCTACCACAGCTGCCTATTTATACCAAAACAAATAAATATATATCTTAAAGCCGGTCCGAGCTGAAACTATAGGAAACGATAGCTTTGTGGACCGGTCAGCGCAGAGCTTTTCAAACAGTAAAGCTGAGCTTAAATAAAGCTCTGCTATGTATATTTAAATGAGAACTGTTGCGCTGCTGCAGGAATACCAAAGTCGACTCTATAATGCCGCTAAATGCTGACTAATGGCTCACTCTAAATAAATAAACAAATGCCAGGCAATTGCTAATTAACAGCATTCTATTTTCATAGTTGCGAATTCGCCAATAAATATCAAATATATTTTGATTGAAATGTTAAATAGAAAATTTATGGGCTAAATGGAATTTGATCAAGTTTAACCAAACTCATTAAATATAGAAATACTTATTTAATTTTTCCACAAAAATGTTAGTTTTATAAAGTTCCTGTAAAATTTAATTTATATAAAGCTTGGCAAAATTTATTATTTTAATACAAACTTAAATATATTTCTTGTATATTTAATATAAACTTTCAAGTTCCAAATCAAAGATGTCTATAAATTTACATTCAACTTTAACGGGCTAATCTACTTACTTTTCAACGACCCGGCAGCGTTGCCACACAGTCACATTTGGCTGTCATTTTTAAACATTCGTTCAGCAAAGGCTTGAAGAAAAGTCAACTCTTGTCAAATAAAATATAAGGACAATCTAAACTAAGCCAACAAATTGACGATTTTTTAAAATATCAATAATAATTTTAATTTTAATATATATATATAAAAAAAAAGAAGAAAACTATGGGAGCTGAGCAATCGGCTTTGTTAGCTTGCACTCAAACGGGCAAGCCGGAAAGTCCGCTGAACTTGGAAAATTCTAAACAATTCTTTCAATTGTATTTCGATAGAATGCCTGAGCCTAAAACAGGACCCGTTACAGAGGCGTTGCTGCATTTGATAATGAATGCACCACATCCGAATCTAGGTAGGTTATAGCTGTCGCCATAAATCGATCTAATCAAGTTTAAGCTGTGCCACTTCAATTAGTAGAGTTCAGGGAGCGCGCCAACTGGGCGAATCAGCAGGAACAGGATTCGGGCTATGAGAACGATGAGCTGGAAATGGAAGAGTCTAGTGAGGCGGACGAGGAGGAGCAGGACATCGATATGATCTCCGTGGAAGAGGAGCAAACAGTTGATCAATTATCGGAGAGTGGAATGAGCACGGCATCGAGTTCAACTACTTATGATAACCGCAATATTGATGAGAGCAACGTTCAGCTGATTCCATTGGAATTCGTCAATCTGCAGCCCTTCGAGAGTCCCAATATAGATGATCCACAGCTGGAATTCGAGAAGGAGTTCATAATAAGCATTGCCGACTTGAATGAAGAATTATCATAGTCTAATTATTACATAAATTAAAAAATTATGTACATGTTTCTTCTCCTACTTAAAGTTAACCCTCTTCAATCTTAGGGATTTGATGTTTCGCACAATGCCTCGTCGTTCGTCTCGATGCTTTTTCATCTCCGCTTCACGTTTTTTGGCCATGTACTGGGCTTTCTTTTCTTTGTTCACCTCAAAGGTCATCTGGCGATTGCCCAGGGAACGACCCACATTCGTTACATTACCCTCCAGGCTGGACATGACGCGAATGCGATCCTGTAGGCTGGCCTGTTTGATGCGCTGCTCTGCCTCGCTGTTGCCCCGATCTGTGTCCAGCGGCGTTAGCTTGAAGTTTGCGCTATTCCTGGGTGCTGGATTATTGATATTTCCATTTCCATTTGCTATTGGCGCCGCATAATCATCTGGACCATCAGCCTCTTCATCGTCGTCCTGCTCTGCTTCCTCCTCTTCCTCGCGCTGTCGCTTGACTTGTTTGTATGCTTGCTTCATCTCCTTGACATACTCGCGCCTATCCTCATCATCCGAGGAGGCGTCATCGCCACTGCTCGCCTCGCTGTCACCTTCGCTCTTCTCGAAGCCAAACAGATCCTCATCATTGTCACTATCCTCTCGCGGCTGGGCTTCCTCGGCATGCAGCTCGGCAACAGGCGCCACTTCAATACGCTGCTTGATCGCCTTTGCCTTCGATTTGTCCAGGCGATTGAGCACTGGGGCGAGCAGTCTATATTCCTCGGCCTCCTTGTTAATCGCAAAGTCGGTGTTCTCGAACATGGCCTTAAAACGCGAGTCCTGCAGCAAGCTGGGCATATTGCGTTGCTTGGCGCTGTTCGAGGGATTCGCCTGTTCGTCCATAATCTTAAGCGCCAGCTCTTTGTTAACCTTGGGTAGCTTGGACTCGATTTGCAGACGCGACTTGCGCTCACTTTCGATCTCCTGTCGCACTTTCTCCTTGCGGAAGCGGTCGAAGGCAAATGGCTCGACAACAGCCTTGGCTTTGTTATACAAACGCACGTCCATAAAGTAACTAAGGATGAAAAACAATTTAAAATACAGAAACCTAATTGCAGGCTCAGTGGACCTACCCATGCATATAACCCTTGAGCAGATTGCTGCCTATGAGATGCTCCAGGCCCAGTTCCTCCAGTTCCTTCTGCGTTACGAACTGATAATCGTCGTAGACATTCTCCACCACCTCCGATTCAATCTCCTCAGTTAGGTTGTCCAAGAAGCTGCACCAACGCGGCGCTGGACCCATAGCAGGCACGTAGTATGTCAACATTTTGACATCTTCCTGCGCCAAGAAGAACATGCCCGTGTCGGGAATGGTGCAAAAGTCATTGAATGATGATGTGGACTCTACATAGGCAATCTGTTTGCCGGTCTGCTCATCCCACAGCTTCAGCGTGGCCTCATCCAAACTGTAGACGGCATTCTGTGAGGGATTAAATGCCAGCCGTTTAATGGGCACCTTATTGAGATGATCTTTGATTAGTAGTGGCTGGCGCGAGCGTATATCATACAGCAGCACATGTCCCGAAGCCGTGCCCACGCCCATTTGCAGTCCATTGCGAAATTTGAGTGCTGTGACCGAGGGAAACACCTTAACGCCCGGCAGTTTCATGGCCACATCCAAAGTGGCGCAACGCTGTTTGGTGCGCGGATCCCACGCCTCAACTGTTCCCTCTTTGCTGCCCACAGTCAGAAGATGATGCTCGGGATTCACCTCGCAAGCATTGAGACAGCTGGCATCCGATTCATACGGCTGCAGGAACTGACCACGCTCCAGATTAAGACGATATATGTCCTATGGAAAGGGAAATCTTTATATAGATATATAATATAAGATTGTCTTAGTCTTCCAGTACTCACACGACCCACGCCCACAATGAACATATCGCAGCTGGGCTTATGGTACTTCATATCACGTCCAAAGCGCGGTATGCGCAATCTATAGTGGCGTCCGTGTGCCGCATGGATTTCCACATACCGATCGCACTGCAGAAACACCAGCTTGCTGTAATCATCGCTGATCACCTCGAACGTCGTCACCTCCGAGTCGAAACAGCGCTCAAATTTGATAGACAAATTGCTGACTTCAAAGCATTTGACACGTGGCTTATATGTGCCCGTTGCCAGTATGAACTGTTGATCAGGGCTCATGCGTATACTCGTGCAGACACCGGGCATATCAAAGTCTTGAATGAGCTCAATCTGTCGCCTCGAGTCAACCTTCTTCATCAGCTGTGAGCGCTTGCGGCGATCGGTGAGCCACTTTAGAAAAAAACCAACATTAATTGAATGCTACACAAGTGAAACATATTACTACTTACATCTGGCACCGATTTGCCGGCGCTCAGGTTATAGATTTTTACATCGTTCACTTCGTTGACAAACATTACTGCATTTTAAAATACAAAATCGCGCATAAACAAAAAAGGAACACGTGCGGTATGACAGTGCTGTTCAGCCAACTAACTACGTCGCTTTACAGCACTATGCAGCAAGTGCTGCACAGCTGATAATTTGATTACCATGTATATGTACACCATTGAATAGTCTGGCAACACCATAGAACTCGTTGCTAAATTTGCAAACAAGAAAACGCAAAAGATATTTGCTGCTAGTTGCCCAGCTAAGTTTTCATCGTTGAAGATTAAAGTTATATAGTTTAGTGTTGTATATATATTCCCGCATATTAATGCTAATTCTGCTGCGCTCGAAGACAACACAAAACACGACTGGCATCGCCTGTGTGTGATTGGAAGTATAAACAAATACAGGAGCGATCCGCATACACACAGAAGCATTAAAAGCCCTCCCCGTGCTCGTTGTTGCAGTCCTACATTCCCACTCCCTAGTTAAAGCCAAATTACAGAACAAATAAAATTAAAGAAAAACGGTGAGTAATATGTACATCGATTGTTTTTGCTGTTGAGCCAATTAAAATCGCGCTGCAATTTTTGATTGCGTCTTTAGCTAATATGAATGTACGTAACTGTGGGTGTCGATGTGTGTGCATGTGTGGCTGTATGGTTGGGGGCCGTCTGGGAGTACCGTAATGACAACTTTCCCTTATACTACATAAAGTACTCGCTATGTTGCTGTTGTTATTGTTGTTGTTACTGTTGTTATTAGGGCAGCCCAGTCTCTGCATCTTCCTATCTCGCTCTCTTGCCATACTGCTCTTGTAATTGATATTAGTCTCTCTGCTTTAGTCTACACCCCTCAAAAAGTTGTTGTTGAGGCAGTGTCCGTTACCGCGCCTTGTGTTTTTATTTATTTTTATCAAATAACGGTGCTTTAGCATGCAACAGGGAACATTCCCACACACATGAGCACATTTTCGCATATATTATAATAATTATTTGTTACAATTGATAACTTCTTATCAGCGTCTCAAGTATATATTAAGCATTTAATTCTGATTTCTATTTTTTCTTGTGATTCAACATACGCCAAGTTGTTATTTATCTTTGAAACCACATTCATTCATAGCTGTGCGATTGACTGATAAGACGAAGGTCTATAATCTATATTATGTATGCACTTGACAAAAAATTATATATTTTTTATTGGTTCTTTAATAGACAAACAACAGTTAATAGTCAATTATGAAGACCATTAGAAAAGAAAGAAGAGAATAGATTTAAATACATAATTTATTTAGATTATATTCTCTATTGTATTTTCTGTCCGTTTAGAAAGAATTCCTCTCAATCCCTGAATAATATTCATCATAGACAAAAAATATTTAATAATAGTTAAGAATTAAGTTTTCTTAAGAAATTTCACTCTCTGCATTCATTATTACCACTATAATTGCCTTACAATAGTTTCGTTTATCTTTAAGCAAATGTAAACTGGTAATAGCTTCGCATTCTTATCTGTTTAATAGGTAAATAGAAGCTAGACTAAACCTAGAATATATTACTAGAACTATAAAGAGCTTGAATTGAGCAAAATTATTGCTCGATTTAGAAAAAATATGATGGCCTTTAAGCCCATATTCATAAAATTAGTCAAGATTATTTACCTTCCTATAAACACACATTTCAAATTCTGATAGCTCGGCATTCTTACCAAAAACCTTTGCTCATTCCGACTTGAAATATGATATGCGCACTTGGAGCGTTATTTTGCGACTATCTGACAAACTTTAAAGTAGGGTCGCGGCACCCCAACTCTTCAAACAATGAAACAGCGCTCGGTTTTTAGCTCAGTCAACAGACAAACTGAATGGACGGACGGCTGTTTAAATATGAGGCACTAGACCCACAATTGGGAACAGCCCCCGACCACGCTGGCAACATGCCACAAACAAAACAAAACAACAAAAAACTGAAAAAGTCGTCCAGAAGCGACACTGAAACGAATTAATGCAGCGTTACAATTGCCTGATAGGCAGTCAGGTCGCCAGACACCTAACTTCTGCATATAGGCACATATATATAAATTAATAAACATATATAGTCCATATAGTCGCAACTGGCATTGACGGAAATGGATGTAAAGCTGCACAAGATGCGTGGGGTTGTTAACAAACTCTACGAACGCATAGATTACCTAATAGAAAATTGTGCGAATGGCCCAAAGGAAACTTTATGCCAAATCAATATTTAATAATCAAATATTCCTATATCATTTCACAGGTCCCAATATGACTGCAGCTCCTTACAACTACAACTATATATTTAAGTACATCATCATTGGTGACATGGGCGTGGGCAAGTCCTGCCTGCTGCATCAGTTCACCGAGAAGAAATGTGAGTAACTGGAAAATACTCTATGCGAAACTTCAACTAAACTGTTTTTCCCATCTACAGTTATGGCGAATTGTCCTCATACGATTGGCGTTGAGTTTGGCACACGAATCATTGAGGTAGATGACAAGAAGATTAAATTACAAATATGGGATACGGCTGGTCAGGAACGTTTTCGTGCTGTAACACGTTCGTATTATCGCGGTGCAGCTGGTGCTTTAATGGTTTACGACATAACCAGGCGGTGAGTCATATTAGTGAAATTGCAAACTTGAAATATTCCTGCTAATTAACTCCCATCTGTGCAGCTCGACATATAATCACTTGAGCAGCTGGCTAACCGATACGCGTAATCTCACAAATCCCAGCACGGTGATCTTTCTAATTGGCAATAAATCCGATTTGGAGAGCACACGGGAGGTAACCTATGAGGAGGCTAAAGAGTTTGCCGACGAGAATGGTCTCATGTTTTTGGAAGCCAGCGCCATGACGTAAATTCTGCACATTATTTATATATATATTGCTAATATGATACTAAAGTAATTTTATAATTTGAAAATAGGGGCCAAAATGTGGAGGAGGCGTTTTTGGAGACGGCACGCAAGATCTATCAGAATATTCAGGAGGGTCGCCTGGATTTAAATGCATCCGAATCTGGTGTACAACATCGACCATCGCAGCCGTCGCGACCATCGCTCAGCAGCGAGGCAACGCATGCCAAGGATCAGTGCTCGTGTTAAATGTATTAAATTTCTCTAGACACACACACATACACACACTTATATACATATATATATATATATATAGTTAAAAAAATCGAAATTTAATTTTTAGCGCAACTCGTAATCATATTGATTTCTAATCTATATAAAACAGAATGCATTGAGTAGAAAACAAATCACAACCAAACAAAGGAATACAATGTATGTACAATATATGTAGTTAAATGATTGGTTTAAGTCGTGAAAAAGTGTGAACAAATAACCAAAATATATGTAAACGTCCCCGACATTCAGATATCTGTGTAATATCTAATAAGCTATTGATAGAAAATTGAATAATCTACATTCAACTGTTGCATTATGTTCTCATTGCAAAGAAAAACAAAAACAAGTAAAAATGAAATCTATGAAACTGTTTTGATATTTACAAATGAAAGTGCAAATGTGAAAGTATACAAATGTTGGCAAATATCTCTTATTTCTATGTATTTACTTTATGCATTAAATCATTTTACACATTTTCTTTGTTCTCTATAACACAATTTGTTAGCAATACTATGTATATATTATAATATTGTATTTGTAACTTCTTTTATGCTCATTTCGTTGAATGTTGTGTAAGCGTGCAAAAGTTCGAAAGCGAGCAATGTTATATGAATATTAAAGACGTATTAAACGCATCATGCTATAGGTAATAAAGAAAAATAATATTTATAAAACCCTAGAAACAAAAAACAAGTTTTCCTAATCATGGCACTAACGAGTGCGCGGTGCCTTCACCTTTGTTAGGTGCGCACCCAGCCAGGTGGCAACGCTGTCCTCAATAATCTAAGCATGCAAAGTTTAGCTGTTGCAGTCATGGAGAAAATTATGGAGAATTATTTGGGGAGTACTAGCAAACAAGTGTTTGAATATACTTCCATCAATTATTAATTAATTGGTGAATATAGGGAAAATCTATTGCTCTTGAAAATAGAATAAAATAAATATATTTAAAAAATTACCCCAAGCAAAAGTGGCAGCTCCGTCCACGACGGCTCAGTTAAACAATTTAATTGAATTTAGTTATAGCATGCTATAATAAGCCAAAGATGGCAGCATTTTTACTTAATTCAAAAAAAAAAAATAGAATTGAAAGAAAAATTGTTAGCAATTTATATATCGAATTCAAAATCGAATTGATTGCGCGCCTAATCATAGGTGGCAGCGCTGTTATCGATATCAACTCTTGTATGCAAATTAATTTGTTTTAATTAAGGCAGCGTTCGTAAACCAAGAGTTGCGTTGACGACATGGCATAAATTCCGGTTTCTGTGACCTCGCTACTACGATGATATCTGCATTGATCGCCAAGTACTCATAACACACATATTAATCCACCTATGATGCAAATTAAGCGTCTGCTATGTAAATCTTGCACCCTCGGCACGCTGCTAATAGCAGGAATATGGATGCTCGCGCTCTTGGCCTACATGCACCATCTGCGTGGCTCCATACCGGCGGCTGGCTGGCGTTTTAATAGTGGTGCGAACGCCACACCCCGAGCCGAGCTGAGCTACCAAGCCCAGGTCACAGTTGGGTGCTCGCCCGCATCCCCGCTGAACGCCACACAGAACAGCGGCACAGTCGATCCCTTCGAGCTGTTGGGTGTGGTGCGCAACAAGCAGGATAAGTACATACGTGACATTGGCTACAAGCATCATGCATTCAATGCGCTCGTCTCCAACAATATTGGACTCTTTCGGGATATACCCGATACGCGGCACAAGGTGTGCGAGCGTGGCGAGACGCTGGAATCGGAACAGCTCCCTCAGGCTTCGATTATCATGTGCTTCTACAACGAACACAAGATGACACTGATGCGTTCGATTAAGACCGTGCTGGAGCGTACGCCCGCTCACCTGTTGAAAGAGATCGTTTTGGTGGACGACAACAGCGATCTGCCCGAGCTGGAATTCCATTTGCTAGCGGATCTGCATGCTCGCCTCAAGTATGACAACTTGCGTTATGTGCGAAATGAGCAACGCGAGGGTTTGATACGATCCCGCGTCATTGGAGCACGCGATGCCAGCGGCGATGTGTTGGTTTTCCTCGACTCACACATCGAAGTGAATCGCCAGTGGCTGGAGCCGCTGCTGCGTCTGGTCAAGGCAGAGAACTCAACGCTGGCGGTGCCCGTCATCGATCTGATCAATGCGGATACGTTTGAGTATACGCCCAGTCCGTTGGTGCGCGGTGGCTTCAATTGGGGTCTGCACTTCCGCTGGGAGAACCTGCCGGAGGGCACGCTCAAGGTGCCAGAGGATTTCAAGGGACCCTTCCGCTCGCCCACCATGGCCGGCGGCCTGTTTGCCGTGAATCGTTTGTACTTCCAGCACATTGGGGAATACGACATGGCCATGGATATCTGGGGTGGCGAGAACATCGAGATCTCGTTCAGGGTGTGGCAATGCGGCGGCTCCATCAAGATTGTGCCCTGCTCTCGGGTCGGCCACATCTTTCGCAAGCGTCGACCCTATACGGCGCCCGATGGTGCCAATACCATGTTGAAGAATTCACTGCGTCTGGCTCACGTCTGGATGGATAAATACAAGGAGTTCTATCTGAAGCACGAGAAGGTGGCGAAGGATTACGATTATGGAGACATCAGTGCGAGGCTACAGCTACGCGAGCGTCTGCACTGCAAGGATTTTGGCTGGTATCTGAAGCATGTTTATCCCGAACTGCGTTTGCCCGGCGATGAGTCGAAGAAGTCCGGCGCGGCGCCCGTTTTTCAGCCTTGGCATTCGCGCAAGCGCAACTACCTTGACTCCTTTCAGCTGCGGCTGGCGGGCACCCAGCTCTGCGCCGCTGTGGTGGCGCCCAAGGTGAAGGGTTTCTGGAAGAAGGGCAGCTCCCTGACGCTGCAGATCTGCAAGCCACGGGCGCCCAATCAAATGTGGTATGAGACAGAGAAGTCGGAGATTATATTGGATAAGCTGTTCTGCTTGGAGGCGGCAGCCGACACGCTGGTCATCATCAACAAGTGCCACGAGATGCTGGGCGATCAGCAGTGGCGGCACACCCGGAACGCCCACAGCCCTGTCTACAACATGGCCAAGGGCACCTGTTTGCGTGCCTCCGCCGCAGAGGAGGGTGCTAGAATTAGCTTGGATCTGTGCTCCAAGGCGGATGGCGTTGGCGGCGCCTGGGACATTGTGCTGATGAAGCAGGAGCAACAGCAGCAGCCAAAGCTTGATAAGCAGTTGTGAATCTTACAGGTGGTAAAAGATGCAATAATTAGACTGAATTTGTCTCTATATAGATCTGCTATAGATAAGCTCCTTGATAACGGTTTACTTAGTTTCGAATTTACAGTATTTTTTTTAGCACAAAAATGTTTGGTTTGCAACAATCAGTGAAAAAAGTTTGGCATAGTTGAAAACAAATTAAGTATTGAAATGTTAATGTCTCCAATATACATATATACATATTTATGTAGATATCAATTAGTATAATGGTTATAGTATGAAAGTAATAGTAGTATTATCAATATTCAGTATAAATAAAGCTTTATATAAACAAAAAAATATAAAATTGTGGCAGGGCCATTGCACTGTGCAAGTGGTGTCATTCCGTTATTTACAATTGCTAATTGCATTTAAAAGTAGGAATATTAATGTAGTTTTCAACATCGTAGATGCATTGAAACATTCGTGTATGCATTTATAAGAAATCTGTATACATTCATATAATCTCACAATTCTAATAGGTCGTTCAGCATTCACAGCTGGCACGTGTCATTCCACTATTTTGCGAATTTCTGCTCACAGCTGGCTTTTTGGCACTGTCGTTTATCAACACTGGTGCAGTCGCGCGTCGTTCTTCTAAAGTGGCGCGTAAATTGTTAAATTGTTTAAAACAAAGTACTTAAAACATTGTAAAAACCATTAAATGGAAGGCAAATCAATAGTGAGCAGGCAGGAGCCGGTACTGCGCCTAGGTAAGCAATAAGAAACAACATAATTTATCCATCAATTATGACGAAAAGCCTTCGCTAACAGATACAAATGCGCGTCGCAATTTTATAAAATTCCACAACAAACTCGGCGAGGTAAGTGACAGTTGTTTGGCTCTGATTTAATTGCCCTAATTAACATATTTGAATGTTGACTGCAATAGAAACCGAGCACAACGGTGCGATTTTATGATCAAACCGATTGCTATACGGTGCACGGCAGCGATGACTGTGAACAGGTGGCGAAAATTGTTTACAAATCCACGGCGTATGTGCACAAGCTGCTGCCGGACGACAAACAGGAGACACTGCAGTTCGTGGCCATGTCCAAGCCCAACTTTGAGCTGGCCGTGCGTGAGCTGCTGCTTGTGCGCAATTTGCGTGTCGAGGTTTATGTGAAGCGCGACGATTGGCAGCTGGAATACCGCGGCTCGCCGGGCAATCTGCTGCAGTTCGAGGACATTCTGTTCGCCAATAAGGAGGTGCTCGTCGGCAATAGTATTATTTCGCTGCAGATCAAACTGGAGGGCGGTGCACAACGGCGTGTGGGTGTGGCAGCCGTGGAGCAGAACGACTGTCAGTTCCAGTTGTTCGAATTTGTGGACGATGATTTCTTTACCGAACTGGAGGCCACTGTCGTGCTGCTCGGGCCCAAGGAATGCCTTTTGCCGACAGCCGATGGTGAATATGCGGCTGTAAAGGCCATGCTGGAGCGTAATGGTGTCATGATCACAGTGCCGAAGAGAGGCAACGCTGCTGAGCGCAATGATCTGCTGCAGGATCTGAATCGTTTGCTGCGCTTTGCCAAGGGCCAGCAGGAGGATGCAAGCGGGCTGAAGGAACTCCAAATGCAATTGGCAGCCGAAGCACTACGCGTGGCCATCAATTATCTGGATTTGGTCAACGATGCCGGCAATTTGGGGCACTACGAGCTCAAGCAGTTGGATCTGAAACGGTGTGTAGACTGAAAATTGATAAATAATATACAAATATTAATTAATTAAAATATTCATCTTGTAGCTTCGTCCATTTGGACTCCGCTGCTGTGGCCGCTCTCAACATTATACCCAAGCCGGGCACACATCCATCCATGCCCTCGTATCGCTGGCAGAGCATATTGGGCGTCCTAGATCATTGTCGCACGCCGCAGGGTCATCGTCTGATGGCGCAGTGGGTGAAACAGCCCCTGCGCAGCGCTGAGATACTCAATGATCGACACGACATTGTGCAGTGTCTGCTGGAGTCGCCCGAGACGCTAGATACGCTCAGTCTGGACTATTTGAAGCGTATACCAGATATTTTAATGCTCACCAAAAAACTGATGCGTCGCAAGGCGAATCTACAGGATTTGTTTCGCATTTACCAAGTTATATTGCGCACGCCGAAAATTCTTCAACTGCTGCTGAGCCTTGGGCACAGCACAGTGCAGAGTGTGCTCTGTGCGCCATTCAAGGGGTTTCTGGAAGATCTAACGGGCCTCAAGCAAATGGTCGAGCAGGTGGTCGACTTTGAGGCCATTGAGAAGGGCGAGTATTTGGTCAAGAGTACCTTCGATGGTCGCCTCATGGATCTGCAGCAGACCATGACGGAGTTGTATAACAAAATGGAACGCATTCGCGACAAATGCAGCGAGGAACTTGATCTGGATGGCAAGCTGATCAAGCTGGAAAATGTGGCCAAGTTGGGCTACCATTTGCGCACCACTATCAAAGATGATTCGGTGCTGCGCAAGAACAAGAACTTTCGCATTGTGGATGTGATCAAGGGCGGTGTACGATTCACCTCCGACAAGCTGGAAGGCTATGCCGATGAGTTCACCAGCTTGCGTGCGCGTTACGAGGAGCAACAGCAGTCAATTGTCGAGGAGATCATCCAAGTGGCTGTGGGCTATGCCGCCCCATTAACTTCATTGAACAATGAGCTCGCCCAGCTGGATTGTTTGGTCAGCTTTGCCATAGCTGCACGAAGTGCTCCAACGCCTTATGTACGCCCAAAGATGCTGCCCGAGGGCGCTGGCCAGCTGCTGCTCGAGGATGTGCGTCATCCATGCCTGGAGCTGCAAGAACATGTTAGCTTCATAGCCAATAGTGTGGAGTTTGAGAAGGGTTGGTCGTCTGGATGGATTCTTTTTGAACTGTCATAATTAATAATTTTTTTTCTGCCCCAGACAAATGCAACATGTTCATTATAACCGGTCCAAATATGGGCGGCAAGAGCACCTACATACGCTCTGTCGGCACAGCTGTTCTAATGGCCCACGTTGGCGCCTTTGTGCCCTGCAGTCTGGCTAAGATCAGCATGGTTGACTCCATACTGGGACGCGTTGGCGCCAGTGATAATATCATTAAGGGCCTCAGCACGTTTATGGTGGAAATGATTGAAACTTCGGGCATTATCAGGGTAAGTCATGGAATTTAATATCATATATATCTTTGCCCGATTGACTCGAAATGTATATTGACATTCGCTATCATTCTAAGCCAAAGCCTTCGGTTCTATTCGTTTTTGTTCTCTGTTATATTCGTGTGATGCGCTTTTAACGAGCATCGTTTGGGGAGCGCTACGATGGACGTTCGCCCAATGCAAGTGAGCAAATACTAACTCAATAGTCAAAAGTCTAACTGAAAGACTGACTTTATATTCACATACATCCGCTCACTCAATTCACGTACACAGTTCATGTGTATAGCGAACACATATACGAACACAGCGAAACAGTGAGCTATGCGCATCATGCTCCCCTCCTCTCTTCAAAGAAACTTACTCCAAGATCAGCAGGAGTCATGTCTCTTCTCACAATGCACTGTTTAAATAAATTATATCTGTTTGAATATCTGAATTTTGATACTCGTAAAAAGTATTTCGACTTCGCAATCTTTACTCTATGATCGGCAAACATGCCTTAGTCAAAATTAACCTTCAAGCCCATTTTAAATCAACAAATTAAAAGCCTACCACGATAGTTGTTTATCTCGGCTGGAAATTTAAGGCATTAAGAATGGAATTGCTGCCAAGTTTATCGAGCACACAAGGACAAAGGCAACTTTATTTATACATCAGCTAAATTTACATAAACTCTTCTTAAAATGCAGACCGCAACGGATAAATCGCTGGTGATCATCGATGAGCTGGGGCGTGGCACATCTACGTACGAGGGCTGCGGCATAGCCTGGTCCATAGCCGAGCATCTGGCCAAGGAAACGAAGTGCTTTACGCTATTCGCCACGCACTTTCACGAGATAACCAAGCTGGCCGAAACGTTGTCCACGGTCAAGAACTGTCACATGGCGGCCGTAGCAGATGAGGATAATTTTACGCTGCTCTATCAGGTGCGACCTGGTGTCATGGAGAAGAGCTTTGGCATACAGGTGGCACGCCTGGCCAATTTTCCCGAGCAGGTGGTGCACAATGCCCAAGAGGTGTACAACGAATTCGAGGATGAGCATGCGGGCAAACAGAACGAGGCGGATAAAGCGCTGCTGGACAAGATACAAGTGGCCATCGAGCAGCTATCGACGGCTGGCAACAATACGGAGATCAATGTGGAGGATCTGACCCAACTGGTGGCACAATTCGCCAAGGATATTAAACAGCTGGACAGTGATTATTTCAAGACCGTATTAACTAGCAGCAGCGAAACTTAGCAACAGGCCTAAGAAGCTAGCCATTCCATTAGCTGTAAAAAAGAGATTTTAATTCTAAGTAGTATTCATATATATACCACACAAGAGCCTTCCATCCATGAGTCTTACATTTATTATTTAAACATTTATTGGTCTTTTGTTTCTTATTAACTGTAAAATTTTTTTCTTTTCATTTTGTGAATAAGATTTGTGTCTCAGTTTTAAACCGTTTCTGTTTTAAACACCAAAATGTTTGCTGCACTAATGCATTGCGCTAATGAAATCATAAATTATTTTCATTAATTTACTATTTTTAAAAATTTTATTTTTAGCGTTTTTTTTTGTTTAGTTAAGTGGACTTTTTTCGGTATTATATATATATATCTATATAGTTGTAATATTTAAACATGGCTGAGTTTTGAATTTCAATTCCATGTGAATATTACCATTTAAATTTCATTTATTATTATTACATCTTACAACATTTAAACACTCCAAAAAATAAATATTGTATTAGTTCGCGTAAACAGTTTAAGTTTTAGTGTTTTTATTTTATATATGTATATTTTATTATTTTAGTTTTATTTTTAGTCGTAAATTACATTTAATAGTTAACTGTTTGTGTTTTAAAAATTTTCCATCTTCATTTTGATTTCAATAATGTTGTCTCAAATTCGATAAGAAACAGAATTTAAAAAACATTTTTCACCCACGCGCACACACTTTTCCATACTTTCGTACGCTGCTCTCTCTGTCTCTCTACCATCAAAATTTTTACTTTCCTATGCATAAATTCATCAAATGTTTCGAAATACGATACAAAGGCAATTAGGTTGGTATTTTTGTTGTGTTTTTTTGTTTGGTATTTTTGTTTGTAGTTGTTGCTCGTGTAAATGTTGAATTTTGCTTAGCTAACAAAAATCGGTATAGTTAGTGTGCAAAGTTAACTGAGGTTCTTGAAATAAGTATTGCATACTTTTCAGGTGGTCCTATTTAATAGAAATACCGCTGCAGTTAGACTTGGGCTCTATATCGAGACGGGTTCTATGTAATACATGTATTTTAAACTAAGTTTCCTTTCTTTAAAAATCTTATCTATATAACTACGATGGTCTGTAATTAGGATACTTGTAAAAGATGGGTTAAGATATACTTCTTCATCGGATCACTCTGTTTATAATTCGATATATTTGTAGATCTATGTATATAATTCTATATACATATTTCTTAGTATGATACCAATTGTCTGGATTGCCTGGAATCTTTCTTTCTACCTCCCAACATAGTTCCAACTGCAAGGGTATTTAGATCTTCGACTAGACCGAAGCTAACATTAGATTTTAGTGCATATTTTATCATTATTTCAAAAAGAAAAAACCAAATACAATAAAATCGTAACAAATACTTAGTACATTATTGCAATACATATACAAAAAACATATATAAACTTTGAATAGCCGTTAACAAAATATCTATATAAACATTGAATACACCACGCATCATATATACTAGTATACAATATATTATCATATAATATTTCTCATTAAAAAATCTGTTTGATTGTTTACGAAAAAGCTAATGAATTTTGCAAAAGATTGCTCTCCATATATATATATATATATATATATATATATATATATATATATATATATAAATTAAATATATATATATTTTTCGGTTGGGCCAAGGGACGAAATAGTGTATTTTGTGTGTCTGTTCGTGTTTCATTTAAGTTTACATTTCATCGCGTTTTTATAAAAAATCAACTAATTTTATAAAATTACAAAAATAATTGTCATTTGAATTATTTTTGTTTACATTCACACTTTTCTCTTTCATAGTTTTAGTTAATATTTGGCATTAGGTATTTACCATTTGTTTAAACTATCCAAAATAGTTAATGAAACGTGGACTTTTTAGCTAGTATAAAACATAAATTTCATTCCAAAGTTTGCTTTTTTCGTAATAGCTAAAGAATTGAAATTAAGAAATATTATTTAGAAGCTGCTAGAAACATATATCCTTTTCCCTCCTTTTCGTACTCTCGTTTTCCTTAACATTTGGCGTATTTTATAAGTCTAAAAGTTGAAATTGGGTTTTTGTTTTTTTTTTGTTTTGTTTTTGCTGTTGCTAAACTTGTTTAAGATTGTGCTTTGGGTTTCCTTTTTTTTTTTTTTTTTTTCTTCTAGGTTGTTAAACTTTGACTAGAATTGTACTACACAATAGTTTACAATCTAAAAACAAACAGATCGCATTAGTGTATATATATATAATGTATAGAGTGTATAAACTAGACGCGCATAAAGCAGCGCGTCAAGTAAAACATCAAAATTATGGTCAGCGGCAGCAGCTGAAGCGTCAGACCCAGCCGCGAGGCATTGCCGCAGTAGGTGAAAAGTTCCTCCTGAAAAAACAAACATTCGTAAGATATACGATATCTGAAGAGTTTTATCTTCCACTCACATCCTCGTGCTCTGTGAAACATTCCTCGATGCGTCGCCTATCGTAGAAACTCATATTTAGTTTGTAGCAGGGAAATTCCTCCTCATACTCAGTTATGCGCTGCGGCTCGGTGGTTAGGCGTACACTGCGCGATGGCATCAGCACATTGACCACCACCATCACCAGATTCGAGTTGGGTATTTTCTTGATCAGAAACGGACGCGTTGATGACACATTTATAAAATCATTGATGCCCACCAATGCAGAGGGTTGCAGCGCGTACAAAGTAGAGCGCATGTCACACGGCTTGTAGATCGGTTCCGGTTCGGGCTCTTGAAATATTGCCTCACCATCATCGCCATCGTCCTTGGGCTTAGCCGCCGATGCCGATTTAATGTCGCCCACGGCCACATACTCATCCTCAATATTGTCCAAGTACTCCAAAACTAATTGACAATGGGAATTATATGTTAATTGCAATTTTGCTTGATTTTAATTGTGTTAACTTACAGGGCGCTCCGTCTACCCACCACTGAACCCTTTGGTAGGTCAAGAAGAGCTGCGCTATGAGCCACTTCCAAACTAGGCCCAGCAGTTGCAGCGGCTGTCATGAGAAATATAAAAATAGAGTTTGTACATGAATTTTGAATATTGCAATGGCTTCTCAGCTTGCCTAGTTTCTATGCCAGCATAGTCTAATAATTAACTTAGCAAATTTAGTTAGCAAATTCAACTAAATCCGACAGCCAACGTAGTCAGGCAATCAACGTAGTAGGGTATTAAACCTAGTCCTGCAAACCTAGTTCAACAGCCAACCAACTCCGAAAGTCAATCTAGTCCGACAGCCAATCGAATCCGACACCCAACTGAGAGCTAACGCACTCCGAGGGCCATTCGGGTGCGATATCCAACGTAGTCCAACAGGCAACCTAGTCCGATAGCCAACATAGTCCAACAGCCAACCAACTCCGACAACCAACCGAATCCGAACTTCAGCCTAGGCCTAATCCAAACCCAACCTAGTCCGACATCCAACTGAGAGCCATTCGAGTCCGACATCCGCACGCAATCTAACAGCCAACGCAGTCCGACAGGCAACCTAATCCGAGAGCCAGCCGAATCGGAATGTCAGTCAGTCCGACAGCCAACGTACTCCAATGTAATCCCACAGCCAATGTAGTCCCGACAGCCAACCGAATCCGAACTTCAGCCTAGGCCTAATCCAAACCTAACCTAGTCCGACATCCAACTGAGAGCTAACGCACTCCGAGAGCCACCCGAATCAGAATGTCAGGCTATTCCGACCGCCAACCGAATCCGAATGTCAGTCTAGTCCGACATCCAACCAAAAGCCAACGCAGTTCGACACAGCCAAACTAGTCCAACACCCAGCCTAGTCCGTCAGTCTGCTCCGACAGCCAGAACCTAGTGCAACAGCTAGTCAAGCTGGTTCTCAACAAGGTCTCATCATCTTGACTTCTAACCCCTTAAAACTCACATGCAGCAAACTGTGTCCATCGCTGACTGTTGTGGGCTCTACTTTACATAGCTCCTGGTAGTCATAGACCTCGATGCTTTTGAAGATGCCCTTCTGAACCATGGCGGCCATGACATCGCCATGGAATTCGCCAAAGAATTTTCCAGTCGTATTTATGTTCTGGCCGACGACGATGTACGCATTGTTATCGATGACAACACAATCGACGTCATCATCCGTGCAGATGGGCAGGCAATTGTTGCACTGTACGTGGAAACATATAATATTAAAGATCAATTTGATGGTTTTTAGGCTCTGCTGGGCTCACATTATCCACGGCTGTTATGTTGAAGAAGCGTTCCCACATGCGCGCATGTGAGAACTGGAAACCGACGACACAGGCGGGCGCCTCTTTGCCGCCATCTCGAGGAAAGATGGCGTGCGAGGCGGTCACCTTTAGATCGCTGTCTTCGAGCGGATCGTTGTAGTGCTTGACCGAGTAAACAAAGCTTTCGGTATTCTCCTGATGATGCTGCAGTATGGCGCTCTTGTACCAGGTCTCATCGATGGCTGTTGTATGATAGTCGCCAAATTCCCGATCCGTATCCACTTCCACCTCGCCAAAGATGAACTGCCAGCGTGTCAGGCCGCTCATGGTGGCCACAAACCTCAGTGTGGCACCAAAGCGTTCAATGAGCTGACGCTCCTGCTCGTTCTCGAATTTCCACACACCGTAACTGAAGTTAGTCACCTTGGCATCGAAAATGAGCAAATGGACTAGCTCCTTGTTGCAGTAGTAGGCATCGTCGCCGAGCGTTTTGCGACCACAGTTTACTGAAATTGTAGAGGGATTAAAACGGATTCCAGATTGACTCCTTAAAGTACTCACAGTCATCCTTGTCATCCCAATCAGATTCGTCCTCGGCATATTGTTCGGGCCATTTCCAATCAGGTTTCATCATCTTTTCCAAAAACTCGCGCAGCTCCGCTTCAGGTGTCTTGAATTCGTGACCCTCCAGATAGTGATACTTGCAATAGACCCTGGAAAAATTAGTTATATTTTTAGGTCTACCAAAGTGTAGGACTTTGAATTTTCCCCGCTTACCAATCTGGATGTACTTTCCAGTTTTCGCCAATGAAGAAATCCGATATGTTGACCTTCATGTGCTTGTTCTTGTCCACCTCATCGCCGACCTTGATCCAAGTCTTGCCATACTCGCTTGGCATAACAATGCCCAAAGTAAAGGGTGTATTGGGTAATGGAGCGAAGAAATAATCCTGTTTCTCCTCCGAGACACGACGCATTTTGTCATAATGGAACTTGACCGGAATATTTTTAAATTCCTTGGCCTCATTATGGACCATAGAGCTGCGTATGTTTAGAATGGATTCACCCGGCTCACGGGGATTCTGATCCTCAAACAAATGCTCCACTTCGGTAAAGTCAATGCTATTATAGTTGGGATTCATTTTGTTGTTGGACTGGAAATGGAAGATATTTAATAAATGAAAATTTGGAATGGCATGGGACAGCTTACACCAAGAGGCCGCAGATCCGGATGCAGCAGTACGTAGCCATTGTTGGACACCACAAATGAGTAGCCATTAACGCCCAGCTGGAGGTAATGAATAGATATTTCAATAAGATTCAGCATCTAATTTCCAGTGACACCTACCTTGTAAGGCAATGTCAATTTGTCTATATCCTCGACGGGCACATCTGTGCCGGCTACGCCCAGGAGACGTGCCCGTCTTTTGGTGCTATTTTCGTGGCGATAGGAGCGATCGAAGGCGGGCACACCAACGGCTATCATAAGACGCGGTCGTCGCTCATTCGAATTCAAAGGATCATACTGCAATGAGGGAATTCTCTCTCAAGTTGGGTTCTCATAAGTTTCACTGAATAATATTTACCGTTTTATCTGTAAATGCATGCGTCCAGGTGGGCGGATGCTGTTCATTCTGCAGTACGAGTGGCGTAGCTATGACATCGACATACTTGAGCACTTCCTCGTGGACTTCATCCAGTGTTTGCACGTGCGAATAGTAGCCACGATTCAGGCAGGCCATCCATTGAATCTCACGCACCTTGGTCACCTCCTTGCCCAGTAGATAGGTAAAGATGCGCACATTCATGCGTGAAGTGCCGTTCTCTCCATTGCCCCAGTTGTACTTCTCGAAAATATCGGTCGTATTGCCCGCCACGCCATCGGTGACCAGCATTATGGCCTGGTTGCAGGTGGAGGTCTCGTTGCACCTTCGCTTGATATAATAGTTGCGTAGTATTTGAAAGGCGTGCTCGTAGGCCAGCGTTAGATTCGCATAACCCTCGGGATCGTCCAGTTCGGCTATGGCCGAGTTGAAGACATCGATATTTTCGGGTGTCGCCTGTACCAGAGCGTCCTTGAAGCAGGGTATTATGCCCTGCACGTCGTTCGAATACCGGAAAATCGTAAAGAAATCGTTATTGGAGAACGTATCCAATATGCTGCGTATTGTGAACTTGGCCACATGATGTCGATGTCCCGTCATTGAGCCCGAATGATCCAGCAAAATGACAATATCCTTGGAACAGGTGGCCGTCTCTATATACCATGACCGTTTGCGGCAATCATACGTATCCGCGTCCAGTTTATTCGCGCGCGAGTCGTACCACTGTGCGGCGGGATAATGACGCAATATGCCCGTATCGGAGCCAAAGTATTGCCACGACAGGGCCGGATCGGACTGATAGTTCTGGCGGAATACCTCATCTAGATATTCCGACCACTGAATTGTCTTCAGCACATTCGGCGCACGATCCCAAACATTTGAGGGCACGTGCACCGAACTGTGCTCAGTGTCCACGGAAATATTGTAGAAATGTGTATCCGGATTGAGCATCATCTCGCGATACATATACTCATACTCCTTAACATTGGCCTCCAGCTCCTCGGAGCTATTGCCATTGAATGGCGAATACTTGCTCGAGTAGTAGGTGAAGTTAGTCTCCGCATAGGTCAGGTTGAATTCGAAATTCTCATTGACACTCTCGGCCTTCTCCTGTATGCAGCGCACGGCATCCATTTTGCGCGCTAACATTTTGCCCACATTTGCTGTTATTGACTTAATTAGTTCGGAGCCATTTTTGAGCTCGACTCGAGCATTGTATTCCTTGTATTTCTCTTTGATCTGCTGCGACTTGGTTATCTTCTGGGCCAGCAGGAATAGCTCGTCTCCAAACTGGGTCGCCCATTTGCCAACGCTGCAAAACACAAAAGAAAGTCGAACGTATTAGAAAACTAAATGAAATTTCTTTGTGTATTGATAAGATTTAACATAAATGAGCTGAAGTACGAAAACTGCCCTATCCATATGTGGGGGCTTTATATATGACGGATGGGTTGGAAAGTAAAGTGACTTCTTGATTGAGCTCTTTCTGGCAGTTGAAAATATTATTTTATAAACTTTTCCCACTAGGCCTCAACTATATTACAGGAAAATTCTACAATAAAAATTATTGTGTTAATTTCTTTTTTATTTGATTTTGTATAATTCGGAGCTCATTTTTTAATTTATATTATATCTATTCTTCTATTTTTTATTTAAAAAAAAAATTACATTTAATTTCCCTGGCTTACACCCGCTTTCATTGAAATTGTAACAGTCTGGCAACGCCAACAGGCAATCGACAGACAAATGGCCCGAAAAGAAATGTCAACCACCTGTCGACGTACAAGTACAACAAGGCCACTAATTTAATTAGCTCACATGTCAGACACGAGAGTGTGTTGGTAACCAGCACGGCTAAAAAGGTGTTCATACGGCTGCGTGTCTTTGTGTGTGTGAGTGTGTCTGTGTGTTAAGGAAAGTAGCCAAGCCTAAGCAGCAGCGCAGTCAACGCCGCGACGTAGGCAGCGAACAGAAACAGCTGTGCTTAGCATTTGCTTAAGTATGTGTGTGTTTAGTGTGAGAGAGAGAGAGAGAGAGAAAGAGGGTGTGTGCGTGTGTGTCAAATCAACAAGTGCCCAGCCAATGCGCGCGCATACTTTCGCTAAAAGCTCTTAATTCTGAAAAGCTCTTAAATAGAAAATGCTCTTAAATAAATGTGAGCGCTATAAAAGCAATTATATTAGTTGAACGCAGCAATTAAGACTACCATAATCACTATATAATATATATAGGGGATTCAAGTATTTTTAAATATTAACAATTGCAACATTTATTTTGTGAAAATGATTCATTCAAAAAACAATATTTTTGGAAATGCCATATATTAAAGCACATTTTATACAAAGATCATAAAACAAATTTATTTGTTCAATATGTATACATCTTAAATTTCAAATAGTTTTACAATATCAAACAATAGGGCCATTAATAAAATAACTTTAAATATAAAGAAAACAGTTTGTTTGATGAGAATCACATAGGAAGGCCATACTTTTAAACGTGTGAGTAAAATAGAAAATGACTTGGCAGAGTAGAAGGAAATAACTACGACATATTATTCAGAGGCAAGTTGAAATGAAAAATTTAAGGAAGAGAAATGTAAAGAGACATAGAAAGAGAGAGAGATCACAGGATGATCTAGTAACCGGTATGAAAAATGTGAGCAAGGGAAATATAAGTAAATAAGAACACGAGATAATTAGAATGAGAAATATAGTCAGTCACAGAGGGATCGAACAAGAGATGGATAATTAAATAAGAGGAGTAGGAATAAGAGAAACATAACCAAACGACTTTTACAACTTTAATTGAAGCAATACTTTTTTTTGGCCTTCATGAAAATGAAAATAAATATGGAAGACAAACCTAAATCAAAATAGACAATAAGAGAAAACGTATTTAATAAGACAACAACATTACAGCATCAATTCGCCGCTCCGATTAGCAAAAATCTACTGTGCTACTTGAGTTACTTAAGTATTACTTCTGAGAATCACATAGAAGGGCGCTCTGCACTACTTATTGGTGTATTTCTGTAAAGGCAAAGCAACTGTCTGAGTGTTAAAATCATTTGATTCAATCATTCACATGCACATAGCCCAAGCCAAAACCTCTTCGTCTCTATCTCTACTGAAACTTGAGAGCTTTCGATTCTATCCTGCTCGGCTCACTGTCTGTCTTTGGTCTTTCTCTTTCTATGCTGTTGTGGGTGCCACCCACCCATTGGCGCCTTTGCCGCTTTGCTTTTGACATAGTTCAAGTACCGCCGAGCGCTCGGAGCTCAAGTTTAATTGTTGTAGTTTGCTTATTGTTGTAGCTATATTGTTGCTATTGTTGTTCCAGTTGTTGTGTGTTTCTTTTTGGAGTTGTTCAATTAAATTTGCAACATTCCTTTGTGGCCAGCTGAGCTCCCACATTAAATTTTTTTTCTTTTTTGTTCATGCTGAATAAACTCAGTCCTTATCTGCTCTGAATCGGACGACTCTTGTCTAGCTCGTGGGCGTTGTGGGCGTAATGCTCACTAGTTGGGCTAGCCAATTTTTCGGCTTTGTGTTTCGCTTTGTGTTTTACATATATAATATATGTATATATTTTGTTTGTTTCATTTTTATGACTTTTTTTTTTTTTTTTTTTTGGGGTTTTTCTTTGCAAATTTACATTGATTTTTTTATGGTCATTGTCTATTAATGTGTGCGCAATGCTTCAGTGCGAAAAAAAGAAGCAGCGCATAAAATATTGCATTTGATATTCCACGAACACATAAATTATATAGTACTTTGCCACTTAGCCACATTAAAGCCACATTTTGTGCATTTGTTGCCGGCAATAAATTTTGTTTGAACTTGAAATCTGTTTGGGCAGGGATTGATTGAGAGAGAAGTCGAGAAATAGATTGATGTGGCTTCTTTTTGTTTGGTTCAATTGAAAATAGGGCTAAACAGCAAATTGTTTATATGAATGATGAGAAGAGTAAATATGTTTTACAAGCAAGTAGTTAAATATAGAAGTTTACAAAATGCAAAGCTGAAACTAATTATAGATTTAAGAAAGCGAATGAATTTTTAAAGAATAATTATAAAAACTTGTGAGATTCAATGAAAATTATGGGACAAAGCATTTGTGTAGGCCTTTGAGTTGATGAATGCATCCCTGAAATCAGATTAGATTGGCGAGATTTCCAGATTTACTACATTTTCTGTATCGATAAGAGAAATGAATAAAGAAAAATGATTAAGTCTTGTGATTGATCTCATTTGTTGGTAGTTGAGCGAAATAAGTCTAGGCTTGCGATGGGAAGGGAACGGTACCTAAAAACTGTTCATACTGTGTGAAACAAAATTATAAGTAACAAGATATTGGGGACGATTATAATAATAATACCTGTATACCTAGTTAGATCTAAAAATAGGATTTCTATAATTTAAGATATAAAATATGAGAATGAAATTGAAATTTAAGATGCTATTTTGTATCCGTCTACTTAAAATAAAAAATTTGTTAATTTAAATGTGTGCCAAATTCAAATGTTGTTCATACAATACCGAATGAGCCGATTATTTTGATTATATATGATTGAAATTATAATATGATTGAAAATGTATAAAAAATATTAATTAACATATAGTATTCATTCAGGAGGCGCGACTAAATGCTGCTTGGGACTGATATGGCCCCACATATAAATCTATTTTAACCGTCTAAACCGGATTCTACTGTATATTAATTCTATCTTTTTGAAAACCAAATTTCCGGTTATTTTTGAATATTAAATAGACCTATCAAGCTCTAAATTATGACACCCAACTTGAGCTGATTAAATTAAATATTTTTTTTTTTTTTTTTTCGAAAAATATGTATATGCAAAAATATAAACGAATCATTTATATACTTGTATTCCTTTTCGCTTTGTATTCGACACGATGATATCATAGAGCATTTGGCGAGCCCCAATATTTTTTTTTTTATTATTATTAATCTGGCTAAATGCATAAATTGCTAAGTAATTAGAACGTATACTTTATTTTTTTCTGAATTTTTTGGAATATGTCGAATTAGCTAAGGCACCTACGTGGTCAGTGCATGTCAAACTGTAATATTTAAACAATGTTAATTCTATTGACTATTTGATTTAATTACATTTGCCCACTACTAATTGTATTTGCTTGTCCATTTAGACCAAGTGACACGCCTTCGCAGTTGGCCTTTGCCTTTGCCTCGGCCACAACAACAGCCAAACCCTTGTTCACCTTTTGATGGCATCAAATTAATAGAACGCCGACTCTTTTCTGAAGGCAGTAAGTTAGACGAAATGCCCTAATAAAATATGCATAATGCGTATAAAGATGTTTGTAGTACCTGCCCGCTGCTCTGACTCCTCCCCAGAGTCAGCATGTCAGACAAATAATTCTTTTATGTGACTTATGAAAAGTGCGTAAGATAAAAAGCCAAATAAAATGAGAGCTGGGGCAATAAGTAGCTAAAAGGTCGACGGCAGCTGCCGAAATTGTGGGCAAATTCGCTGACGCACACTCAAACATACAAGAACACGCACACACACACACAACCATGCGAGCGCTAAAATGAAAATTGGAAACAAAAAACAAAAGTGCCTAAAGCACGCAATGGGCTAAAAGGCAGAAAAAATAACGGGGGTACAAAAATATTACAATAGGTTCTAGGCGACCTATTAAGGCGCTACAAGCGATATCAAAGTGGGAAATAATAAAATAGCAAGAGGTATATGTATTAAGGGGATTAGCACGAGGCTAAAATCAGTTACTATATTAACATGTCAATTGGCTATATAAAATTAACATATTTTGCAATGTGATCTGCCTCAAAAATACTGCATATTAATAGCCAGGTTGTTGGATTCCCATATTAAAATGTCATTTGGTATATTAAAATATCATTTAACTAAACTTTTTGATGTGCTTTAATGTAAACAGTTTTTACGTTAATGTAAATGCCAATAGAATAAATATTTGCATATATTATTTATTATCTATCTACTATTCAAGCTACTTTGACAACAAAGATTTAATTAAAAACAAAATTTAAGCAAAAATAAAAATTCTTAAGAATTTATGATATGCATATTAAGTTGAATTAGTATTAAATTACGTCAACTCCAGGATTTGCATTAAGCTAATAACGATTTGATTTAGAATACTTAGTAAGTGTATAGGGTGTTAGTATACGTATTGTGATAATTTAATTTAATTTAAATTTAATTTAATTTAAATATTAAAGTGAAATTTCATGAAATTTTTTAAATTATCTATAATGATTTAATTAAATGGCAATTTAATTAAGAGCCTTTGTATAGTGGATGGTGGATGAGTATGTTTAGATAAGAAAGCTGAGAATGACCACGGTATTATAAGATACACGATTTTTTAAGACTTTTGATTACTTTATGATTAAAATATGGGAAATATCTAAACATCTACTAAGATTCTAGAAGTCATTTGAAGCATAAATTGCTCTCATAATTTTACTATTGAAATTAATAAGTATTTTTTTTTGTTGACATTATATTTTACATTATTCTGTTATTTAGATAATAATAACCTATTTTAAAAGCTATTTAATTCAATAATTAAATATCAGTTTAGACTGCAAAGTTTTTATATCAAAATTGGATGATCTTATAGGAAATTTCATGTTAAAAGATGTGGCAGGAAATACCAAAGGAAGAGAAATATTTTTGCTTTATATCATGTAAGCTGCTCATGCCCTTCAAAGTCTAACTAAATCTGCCAAGTGCAAGACAAAAATCCTCTTAAATATATAAAGGTATGCATATATATCTATAGCAACAGCGATGCCTCAATTCTTAGTTAAGCTTTAATTTAGCTTTATTTATTAGCTCAAGTACTCAGACAGGCATTTTCATGTAATTTCCCACTGGAAGGGAACAAATTGTTTTTATTTTTGAAGTGTTTCTCTTATGTCTTTGTTAGGCGCTAATATAATTATGCGTTCCATCTAGAAACGACGCCAAAGCTCCATTTTTTTTTGTGGCTTAGGGAAGAGGGAGAGCGCCTATAAAATCTGCTTCATCCTCAAACTCGAAATTATGTCAGGCAGAAAATCATATGCATTAAAATGCGAGTGTCTCAATATTTGCGATAAGAGCAATAAATTGTCATTAACATAAGGATGTGCGCTGCATACCCTAAAAAGAATTCCTAAAGCCCACATGCCGCACGCTTGACACGCAGCGCATTCCCAATAAGAAACGTGAGGTGGCTGCCAAAAACAAAAACAAAAACAACAAAAACGAAAAAAATCAGCATAAAATGTACGAAAAATTAACGAGCGACGAGGGCGAGGCTGAGAGAGACGATGTTGCTTATGATGATGATGATGATGTTGATGGGTAACACGCCCTTTAATGGACTTATGTTTGGCGAGCCGCCGACAAATAAAATCCATTTGATAAAACTCGGCAACAAAAACTCGAAGAATATCTATCAAAATTTGATAAACAAATTGTTGGTGGCTTTTGCAACTTACGCTTCATCCGCGGCAGAGGCGTGCACCATAAATGTGGAGGAGGCGGGGCCGGCATGCCGCGACACTGGGGGACCGCAAATGAGCAGCAATAACAGAGGCTGAGCGGCTAGAAATGCGGTCAAAATGACAGCAAAATGTGTCATCAACTTTTCGCATGTACCAAACATTTTGCTAGCATGTTTCAATCTTGTATTTGTTGTGTTCCTCCTTGGCTGTGGTTGTGCACAACCGAAATACACACACACTCACACTCACTCAGTCAAGTCAGTTAGCGCTACTAACTCACTGCATTTGCTACCAAATTTGGTATACAATTTTGGGTGGAGTCGCGACGTCAGCAGCGACGCCGACGCTGGCGCCACACGTTACTTTCTTTCTTTGCTTATTTTTTTCGTTAAATACTTTTCTAGCACATGCGGCGTATGCGTAATATTTGCAAATCTAGTTACGAAAAATTCACGTTTTTATTTGAATTGAATTTGAATAATTTGTGCAGTTGTTGGTTGTTGTTGCTGTTGCTTGTTTTTCGTTCAAAATTTATTTTCAGCTGCACAACGAATTTAGTTTTCCCTCAGCTGTGCGCGTTGAAATTTTCTATATATAAACTTTTGCTCTTAGTTGCGGCGGGGCTACGTTTTGATTACACATATGGCACACACACTGTCGCGCGCGTTGCTATGTGTATGTGTTTATATGTGTATGTATATATATATTTATTTATATGATAGATATATATGTGTGTGTATGTGTGTCTGTGTTGGAGTGTAAGTGTTGTGGTGTGCCGAGGTTGATCCGCTTGATTTTCGGCTACCGCCAACGTTGAAGAGCTGCGTTTGACTAAAGTGGAAAAACGCAAAAATTTTACTAAATACTGTCACGAATTTTCCCAGACCAAAAGAGAGAGAGAGAACGAGGGAGAGAGAGAGAGAGAGTGTGTGTGTGAATGTGCAACTCTTGCCCTATTTATAGTTAAACTCTCTTACACACTCACACACTCATACTCTCTTTCGTCTGTTTACATTGTCGGCCTGGCGGCTCAGCTGTTTTCGGTATCCTCTATTGATTTTGTCATGAGGGATTCCATAGCACCGCATACAACGGCATTCCGTTGCCTGCTGCTGCTTCTTCTACCTATTGCCTGTTACGCTTTGTGCCGCATATTCATAACAGAGCGTGTATATGCTGTGCTGAGCAGCGCTTCTCTTTCTGGAGAGAGAATGACAGAGAGAGAGAGAGAGCAGCATGAGCACACGAATTGCTATAAAAAATTATTTTCAGCATTGTTTATGCGCCTTTTATTCAATAATATTTTGATTTTATCTTTTGAGTTGATGGTTTTATTGAATTTTAATTAAAAATGAATAAGTAAAAAAATACTTCAGCAAGTGTGATTTTAATACATTTCAATCATATATATATATATATATATATATATAATATATTTTTTTCCAACGGTATTTTTCTGGAAATTTATTTGTTACCAATATTTTTTTAAAGATATATTTTGGTAATTAATTTCTTATTAATTCAAGAATATATTTGTTCATTGATATTTTTTAGCAAAACTTTTTGATCTATTCACAGATCAATCAGGCATTCTATCATGCAGTCAATCATATAATCAATTAGCCAGTTCCTTTCTTTTTCACTTCATGTTATATATTTTAGCACATGCAGTTATTTCTTTCATATATTCTATAAAGTTGATGCAACAATATTATTAATATTTAAAAAAGATATAAATAATATAAAAAATATACTAATAAAATTTTTTGCTATGTAAAATAGAATAGAAAGTAGAATTTATTTAATATAATTTTTTATATATTTTCTTTTGTTTTTTAATTTTATTAATTTATATATTTTTCATTTAACTTTCCTTTTAGTATATATTCTATTTTGTGTATGCATAATTTTGCTTTAAAGTGATTTTAATTTTGATTTGTGTTTTAATAAATAATGTCTATAAATAATTAAAGAGCTGGCATGTACATATAATTAATGGAATTTTTTCTTTCCCCATTATTGATAGCATTCGACGGGGGCTGAAATCTCGAGTGCGCTTGAAAGTATTTTTTCAATTATCATTTTATATCAATTGCTGTTGAGTATCGCAATTTAATTGATATGAATTAACATTAAGCTCATTTAATACGCTGAATAATTTATATATTTCCATTTCCTGTTTTGTTGCTATTGCTGTTAATGCTTCATAAATCCAAATTAGCCTGCGGCCATACTTTGGCGTCAATTCGTGGCGAAATCATTTTCATATTTCCATACAACGAAAGTAGACATACACATACACACCACATATATAATTATGTATATGTCTATATTCCGCTCATATATGCACAGTTCAAGTGGGCTCTGTTGTCGGCACTGGCAGCATTGTCACAGCCACTATGAAGAAATGTAGCGGAACGAAGTGCCTCGGTAAGGTGAACGCAGCGAGGCGAATGATGATGATGCTGAGGTTGATGATGAGCAGGATATGACAACGTACTTAGTCAAATTTTTAATGAACTCAACAGCGTTTTACTTTTAAAAGCAGCTGCAGTAGCAGCTGCCGCACGAAACACAAAACTACAACAATCAACTGCACAAGGATCACATGATGAAGGACACTTTTTAGTGCAGTCGCCTGCAGCTGGCTGAGTACAAAGCAAACCACAAAAACATTACCTGTCTGTGCCATTGGGAAAGTGTATTCAGTTGAGAGTTGTGTGAATTTGTTAAGGAATATGTGAAGTAAAGTCGAGGAATCAATATTCACTATATGATTTTAACTCTGCTTAAATTCTAATTTCTTACTTGCTCTTGCTTTGAGATTTCTCTTTTATCCTAAATTTCTTAGCCTTTTATCATATCATATATCACAGCTCTATACATTCCCAGAGGTATTTAAATTTATATTTATAATAAAGGAGATAACATATATCTCAATCTCTATATGCCCAAGGGTATTTAAAGTTCGTTATTTAATTTCGAATTCAATCTGTTTTGCGTATAACGCCCAAGGGTATTTTAAATTCGTTTTATCGCCTCTGCACTATGGGTCAAAAGCCCGATTTTTTGGAAAAAAGTCTTATTTTCAAGTTGAAAAAATTTACAAAATTTTAATGCCAATCCATTAAGAATACCCTATATGTAAATGTTACATACTCATAATTTTAACAGAGGCGCGATCTGTTAACAAAACTGCTGTTAAACAGAGCTGCTATGCATGACACGCACATTATCAAGTTTGTAAAAAACTTTATGAATTTCAATGGCCAATTGAAATAAAAATAATGACAATTAGATTCAAATTTTTAGTGGAAAGTATGGAATAGGGCTTGTTCTTTGTTTTTACGTGTTTATATTGTCCAAAATCTTTATGTGATGTGAAGTTTTGTGTAAGTCAAAAAGCTGTCTTTGACATCATTTAAAAAAAAAATGTTTGTCTTTGATAAGAGATAACTTGTGTTTGTAGCATTTTGTAGCAATGAAACTACGCCCATTTTATAGAGTATTCAATTCCGAACTTAGACCTATAAGTTCAACGTGCACTTTTGCGCACTTTTTGCGCAATTTCATTTTTCAGCAACTAACCTCGTCGCAGATGAGGAAGAGGAAATAAGCCTGTTCGAAAACCAGGACTTTTCAAATTTTTAGGTTTATGGCATACTAGCTTCAGATAATGAAGAATACGATGATTAACAATAAAAGAGATATATTTTAATGTTATTTGTGCTTAAAATCATAAAATATAACCTTTTATTCCTTGAAACATTTTTTTGTCAACTTCTACATACAAAAACTATATGATATAGTTAACCGATTTTGATAATTTTTTTACAGGATCTTTACATGAAAACACATCTAATATGTGAATTTGGTGTACAAATCTTAAAAAGCAAAAAAGTTATGACAGCTAATAATATGAAAGAGAGGCGGTGCCACACCCATTTTTTCACCAAAAACGAGTGTTGCGAACGAAAGTCAAATGCAAAAAAAACAAATTTAATTATCTTGACTAGTTCAAAAGTTATTAATTAATTCCAAAAAAACGGGCTTTTGACCCATAGTGCTCTGTCGCCATGTTTTAGCTGGTGCTGAGGTAGGCTTAATTACGAGCTGGCTTTTTTATTTCGCATAGCATACTTTTCAGGGCAGCCCAAGACCCAGCAGAGGCCCAGGCCCATGCTCAAGCCAAGCGAGGCGCACGACCTGCTGCTGCTCTACATGATAATGAGCATAATTTGTGGCAGACGCCAAAACACGCAACTGCCACAAAGATGCGAGATTGTGGATGTGTGTGTGTGTGTGTGTGTGTGTCAGTCAGGGTGTGGTTGGGCGCGCTATAAAGACATGTCGTGAAAGTTTTTGGTCCGCCTCGTATCACAAAAGAGGTTGAGCCTCTCTCTCTCTCTCTCTGTATGTATGTATTTTGTTCACCCCATAAAGTTGCTCCGTGTGCATTTCATTTGCATGAAATTTATGAGCCGCGTGTCGGTGAACGGACCAGACCACATCTGATAATGTCGACAGACATAGGGACATAAGTGTAGCGCACTTGGCAGCGCGTGTAACTGACATGCTTTGATGCTGCTGCCGGTGCTGCCGGTGCCGCTGCTGGGCACACCTCGTAATTACAGTTAACCACCCATATTTGGTTAACTGAATTACTAATTAGTCGCCAACGCATAGCCTCAACTATTCAGGCGAAACTGCTGTGGGGCATCACACGAACCACAGCTATTGACAGACCGAAGCGAGACCCAATCGCATGGAATCGAATCGAATCGTAGTATAAAGTTTCTAGCAATTGCAAAGTTTTTTACAGCATATTTTTCTTTGTTTTTTCTTTCGCATTTCATGCTGTGCGCTCCCCTGAGGGCAATTCGGGACAATATTTTCCAGGAGAAAAACAAAAACATCAGTTACATGAACTTGCGTTTGTTTGAGTGAACGAATGAAAATGGATTTGATAATCAGGTAAATGATACGAAAATAAAAATGAAAATGGAATTGGCGAGCCACAGAGGGTGTTTTTTTTTCGAGAAGAATAGAAAAGATTCAGATTGAGATGGGTATTTTATAATAAAATAAATAGTATATGAATTTAATAAAAAGTAAATAAATAGAAAACAAAAATATATTAAATATTAAAAATATTAATATATAGAAAATATTAGATCAAATTAAAATATTTAATATTATAAATAAAATAAGCAAGGTATTTAATATTAATATAATATAAAGTTATTAAAAATATATAAATAAACAACTAAATATCTATTTTAATATAATGTAAAATAAATAAAAAAAAGTAAAACAACTAAATAAATACTGACATTAACTTAATAGAAAAGTAATAAGAATAAATAATTGAATAAATAAATATATTTTATTAAATAAATATCAATTTTACAAAATAAATATAAATAAATACTTGAGTAGGTAAAATATAATTCAAGGCTGCGAATCTACAAAGTGCTACATAATTTTTTATAAAATATTTTAAAACTATCAAGCACGGACTTTTCTATTTCAAATATGTAAAAGCTAAACATTTCGTATAATCTATCAGACATTTAAATCAAAAGCTCTACAATTATTTAACACAGAGCACCCTGTATGCAAAGAGTACTTTACAGTTTAAGACAAGGCGAGCTCGTCGCTTTATTGTCACATGGAACACCCTGTCGTTGGCATAGGCGAATGCTCATCAATTGCTTGAGCTGTTACCCATTTTTCATTTTACTTTCGCGCTGCTCTTGGCAACGGTCACCAATGGAACAGCCAGAGCAGCTACAACAACAACGACAATAATCGAACAAAAAAATTGTAAAGATCCTGACAGCCGCGTCAAATACCGTTTGCCATTTTGTAACATTGGCTCAATGCCAAAAGTTTAATTGTGTGTGTGTGTGTGTGCGAGTGTGTGTGTGTGTGCGTATGTTTGCTGTTGTGTGACAATTTTTTGACATGAATATTTTACACGTTCATTGCAAAATGGCATTCCGTTGATATATTTAGAGGCTCTGTTTGGCATTGAATTGCAATCGAGTCCTTTGAAAGCTGAACTGAATCAATTTATGAGGAGACAGGAGAGGAAACACAATTGTGCTGTTGGTGTCGTCGTCGTGTTGACCATGGCACCCCCCACCACGTCGCCTGTGCTTGTTATTTACAGTTGGCTGACGATGTTTTATATGTG